AATATTGTTGTACATTATTTTGTTCTATCGCTACTAGTTTCGGCAGCGCATTCGACGAAAGACATTTTAAGACTCATTTTTCTACACCTTCGGTTACATTGTTCAAATTTTACCAAGTGTCCCTATTTTTTTTCAAAATGAAGTGTAGCCTATGTCAAATTGGAAGAATGTAGCATTCTATTGGTGAAGGATTTTTTTAAATCGGCCAAGTACTTTTTGAGCCTATTCATTACAAACATACAAAACTAGGTACAAATCTTTCCTCTTTATAATATTAGTATAGACAAAGCTTTTATGACATAAATTAAACATATTAGTTTCTTATCCAGGTGTACTGAGTATACTATTCTCTGTTTTCTGGCTTATTGTTAACCAATGATATTCTTTATTATATTTAAACCACTTGAGTAGTACATTAGGATAATTCTTTCGGTTTCCTAATTAATCGTATCAATATTATTGTCAGTATTATTAACACAGATTTGTACTTGGACACAAAAGTGTGCACCCAAAATACATATAAAATAATATAAATAGATTGCCTACAGTTTATTTCATACAAAGTCTATTTATAATATGATACGTCAAGTATCCTTACTTATAAATAGATTTATGTACTTCCAAAGAAAAATGTTCGTCTTGCACGTGACCACGTGGTGCATGACAGTAATGGCCGCTGACATCACAGATATCATATTTTATCATCGTAACAGCTCCACCAACTTACAAATACGTGTGGTCAAAATTGGAACTATTGAAATTCCTAAATAAATTGAAGATAAAAAGTGTCTTCGCAAAGAAACTAGCGACACGCTCAACTAATTACTTAAGTTGGTTGCTAATCGCTATTCGGAATGTGGATTACTTTTCACGTGGCTTTTAGTGAAAACAAGATTGAGTTTAGTTGTGTGAGTAATTGTAGTTTAAAATAAGTTTATTGTCAAAATAACTTTGGTAGACTTAAGGTTTCGATTATTAACGTCATTAATTACAACAAAAATGTTTTTAGGATTATTAAAATACTCCTTACTAATTTCCCATACTTTTATCTATATTAACTTCTCTTTACCTATGTACACGATGAGAAATAAGTACATTATATTTCTCTCTAGTCGGAAATATGGTGTATTTCCTCAGAAATAGAATTACAGTTGCGCTCGGGAGCAAACTAAGTTAGTCGCAAGTCTAATGAGAAGTGAACGCGTAGGCATAACACGTGTCCTGTGTATGTGTGTTATCATACGTCATAGTGTGTGTAGTGTACGTTTGTGTGATATGATACACATTTTATTTGCACCAGGTTTTTCTCGGAAAATCGGCAAACGGAAAAATGTATTAACGTGACACGTTTGATGCGTCAGGTGTCTCAGTAATGTGCCAGGGAATTTCAGTTTTTTACATTTATGTCCCTTTTACTTACCTACATGTAGGTACGTATAGTCTAAAAATTTAGTTTCAATGAAATCAGACACTTTAAAAAGGTGTACGTTTTAACTTTAAATTGTCGGAAAGTGAAAATCGTACATAGAATATTATTTTAAATAATACTTGGGGTGCGATCTGCAATCGTTATCGAAACCAAAATTAGTAGTAAATTAGTTCATTGAATTTTTATCCGATTGTCTGTATATTCGGGCTAAACTCAAAAAACATTGATTTACTTCAAAGATATGAATATTACTAACAGGTCGGGTCAATCTATAAGCCACATACTATCACGCTATCATCTACGGGAGAGAAGATGTGATCGCCGGAATATTATTCAAAGTCACTATTCTTCGCAGTCAAAGTCGCGGGCATAGATAGAGTTAATTCCGTACTTATACCTCAAATGTATATTTATAATATTTTTAAATGCCTTTTATACTTATTTTATACAATATAAGTACATACTACTTACCTAGATACATATCTAGGTATGTACATCCAAGAGCCTACACAACAAACCTAGTTCATTAAACTCAAGGTCTTTCTAAGCAGCCTTTCTAACCTATTTGTATGCAGTAACTAGGCGCTAGTTTTTCTATCAAAACAGTTTTCTAGATTATGAAAATCATTGAATTTAATTGTGCATGAAGTTGAATTACCTACGCTATGGTTGATAACGACGGTATCGAGGCCAGACACGTCTGTGTGGGTAAGTGCTGATTGTAATCTGCATCAGTATAAGTACTTCGGTATTACAAGTGCTCGTCTCTTAAACCGTCTACTAAGGGTCTACTTATGAACAGTCTCAAGTAGTTTTTGATGGATTTAGTAAAGAAAGAAAGAGTTTCGACTTATTCTTTAGAGAACTTATGTCAATATACCTAGGAAAAAAAATCTACTAATAATCAGATTATTAGAGCTGTTAGTCGACTGTTAGCTTAAAATATTATAACATCATGCCTTTTATCCCGGAAGGGGTAGGCAGGGGTACACATTACGGTACTTAATGCCAATGTATATAACACCAACTTTTCACTAAATATGTTATGAGTCCCACGTAATAGGGGATGAGTCTATTGACATATACCGGGCACAGTTTCAGACTGCGTGCTACTATTGAGATTTTTTTAAATGCTAGTAATACTTTGTCCGATCCAGAAATCGAACCAAAGACCTCTTTGCCGGCAGTCCACTTGCAACCACTCCGCCAACAAGGCAGGCAGTCGTCTGCCAGTATCTCAAGATATCTTCTGAAAAAGTAGGTACAAACATGAATTTAAATAACGAATTAATCAAAAACTTATTGTTAATTAACGGATAAGATTGTAAGCATATAAAAAACAATTGTAACTTTATTTCAATATGTTTATTACGAACGGTCGATACAAAGTGCACATTTTAGTGGCACATGGCAATACGTGTGTTTGTTGTGTAACAGGGTAGACAAATACTGATAAAGTTTCCACCTAGTGTACTGCTGACGTACAGTGCGGTGCATAAGTAGCTGGCTACCTGGTAATGTACGTAATACTTACTCGATGTGCATTGTGACTCAGGAAACGTCTCACGTTCCAAAATTAAGAATTGGATCTTAACAAAAGATCGTTACGTTTTGTCGACGTCGCATGTGTAGGTACTTTATATCTATCAGGTCATAAAACTATGACGACATTTAACACCTAGTTACATTAAATTTTTATTCATACTTCTTACTCCTGTCGATTTTTACAACTTAACCGAAATGCCTCAAAACTAATTGGATCGAAGGCTCTCTCTTGAACATTTTTATGGAGGAATCAGGAATACAATAACAGAAGATAATTTTAAGTTCATTAAATGTCATAATAACTTATTAAAGTAACTTTTCCATGATCAGTTATGAACAAACGTCATGATAAGAAGTATCAAAACAACTACCCTCGGTTGTACTACGCTGAAGTATATACATAGATGTGTGTGTATGTGTGAGTGACCGATATGAAGAATGTATGGAGTTATATGTATGAGATGTGTGAGAGTGTTTGTCAACGTGCGTGGCTACGATGAATCACGGAACGACCCACGTTGCGCTCGCGCTGCTCCGCGCGTGACGTCACCTACAACGTGCGTAGCCAACGAGCTACGAAGCTACGAAAGTTTAGAGCCGGTGTTTTGTTGCGTAAAGATTTAAAATTTTATGATAACTTTTTTTCACATTGTTGCATATACCAAAAATGAACACAGTTCAAAATTGAAGTAAGTGTAAATCATAGATTAAAACAGAGAGGTAGAAATCGGAATTGTACTCAAACTAACAAAGATATTATAATATTTATACAGGTATAACTCTGTATTCCCAAGTTTAGCCTCTAAAAACCAATCAATCTCTATCAAGCAGCCATCTAAATCCGTGCACGTTGCGACACGTTCTAATTTATCCTAACATCGTGAGTGCTATCTAGAGGTAGACATCACAAAGTAACATGCTAATCACTTAGTAGGTTGCGGAAGATATTGGCCCGGTACAAAACATCGAACACGTGTTTTTTCATGCGAGGTGAGCGCTCCCTGATGCTAGGTGTCTGGGATCTGAGTATTGCCAGCAATTAGGGGTAAATTTTGCCGGGGCAATGGGAGAATTTTTGTGGAATAGTTTGTAGTTTGAGGTTAATTTGATTGTAGTATCATGAATTCTACTGTTTTTTTTTGTTCAGGTATTAGTGAAGCTTTAGTATTAGAATTGGATGTAGCAAAAACGAAAATATCAACAATATTTAAAATACTTCTCTTTAGACCTTTTTATATACTTTTCCTTAGAGATGTTTAAATATTGTCTGAAACAGTAGACTTTTATCGGCCATTATAGTAAATTATACCACAACAATAGATTATGAAACTAATAAGCTTACACTTCAGTAAAACATTATCACCTTCGCGAAGTAAAAATAAATAGTAATCAATCACTGAACATCCTTGAGCTTAGTACTAATAGTACATTGTTGCGTTTTGCGATGTAAGTAGTAACAAAATGGAAAACAATATTCATTAGAATAATGTTTAACGCATGTTGGAAGCAGTTCAACATTATTAACATTGTGGTAGACTATGTTTCAAACAACATTGTCATGTTTACAACTAAAAAAATACTAATTGCGTACTTGGTGTTTTGTACCTAAGTAATGAAATGAACAAGTACCTAAGTATGGTTATGTATATATAAGTATGGTTTATGAATAAAAATCTTCATAATAAACTATACAAGTGATAGAAAACAAATCTAGAGTATGTTGCTAAATGAAGGAGCTTACTCAGTGTGAAGGTGTTAGTAAAATCAGTAAGCGATTTTAATATTCAGTTAATTTTTATTATTTTGTCATGTCATTCAAGTTAAAATGAGTTCTGAAATATTATTAGAGATATTTTTCTATTTTTGATTAATATTGAAATTTATTTTACTTTCATCATTCTATGTACTCCCGGGTAACACAGTTCGTAGCACTACAACACAATTTTCTGTCTCGCTCTAATTACCGAGCTTATACCGACGCCGCTATGTCGCGCCCGTATTCGATTTTCATTTCACACGAGGTACCTTCGTTCGCCGTCGCCGAGCCGAGTCATTCCACGTTCGGTATTGAAGCTGTTCGCACGTCAGTCGTTCTCAACAGTGTACATCGTTATATTTGTTAATAATATTGACATCTCGTGTTAATTCAGTGCTAAAAACCTGTGTTGTTTTGCCACCATGTGTGAAAAAAGGACAAGGAAGATAAAGAAAGGTAGGTTTCGTAGTTTCTATAAATAATAATGCGGTGTAGCCTAGTTTTCTGTTATGTGCGTGCGGCGCCGGGGTGGGATGCGACGGGCTTACTTGCCGGAGAATATATTGAGCTTTATGACTTACTCGTACTGACAGTATTGTTAATTCATATTGAGAATTAGATGGGTATAAACTTCGAGTATAATAGAAATTTCTTTAAAATGTATTTCATTTCATATTAATGTTCAAATTATGTAATGTGAAATCGACGTTAAGTCGTTAAGACGTTAAGTTTGTTATTGTGAATGTTGCTGCGGCCTACGAGTCTACGACGCATGTAGAATTCTTTTTATGAAAATATATTTTCCATACAATAATATCTACTCATGGTGTCATATTTTTCAATAACGTGTTAAGTAAAAGTAAACCCTTTTGTTCAAAAGATAAGGTCCTATATAGTTTGATGAAAGGTTTATTATATGGAAGTTTTACAATAGGTTTGAGTCAACAGCAAAGCCTTTCACAACAAACTGACCTACCGCAAGGCGAAGGTTTCATAATTCATAACACGACGACTTAACTAGAATCTTATGATAACAATCCCTAGTTTAGGTGTCTCCATCTATGGAGTACACCTGTGACACTAAAGCACCAGTATTATATAATATACCTTGAAGAATAACTAAAATTCATATGCACTCACATGTAACTCGACACATGAAAGGGCATTGATTAAAATTGGTGCCTTTCTTTTTTCTGGCGGCAGTCGATGATTTATGGAAAATATTATCTAGAATGACATTACAAACGAAATTGTCTATGGGCCTATATATGGAAATCTCAGTCTGGACTGAGTTATGAGCGTTGAAAGGAGCTGGAGTCAAACATTTTACTTCGGTTTTTTATTCAAATTATTCATAGTTTTGTCACAATTTTTAACTTCAAATTGCGCGCCACTGTACTCCGGGCACAGGAAAACCATATAACACCACAATATATTCATATTGCCAGGCACTCATTTTTATTACCTATTTTCTCTCAGTCGATAGCTTGTGGTATGCTTCTAGGAGTTGTGTCATGAAGCTTCATGAGCGTCAGCTGTGGTACCAGTGGTGGGTTGAGTAGTGGTAGCCGTCCAAACATCTAATAAAGTATATTTTTTTTTTGCCATTGACGCGTGGTGGGACACTCTTCTACTTAATAGTTAACATAATCTTTTGAAGAAAGAAAAACGTCGACTTTTAAAGTGATCAGCGCTCTTCAATCCGCTACCGACGCCGCAGCTGACAAACATAGCATTTCATGATAGGGCTCAGTAAAGTATTTTGCGGGTTTTTGACTAAGAGGAAATTGATCATGAAAATCTGTCATAGGCCATAAACCGTATACATATAAAGAACACGCTAGCCAATCAAGCGAAATGTTTCTTTTTCTTCAGCAGTGGTCAATTAATAGTTCACTCTGTTCTGATTCAGTGGCCTAATAAAAAAAAAAAAAAAAAAAAAAAAAAAAAATAAGTAAAAAACTCCACAATAAGCTTTATTATATTCCTTGAAATCGTTTATGAACATTAATTACAAAATATTTCTGACGAGTAAATGAAGAAATATGCGTTGTGTACGGTCACCATCAACAAAATCACAGGGATAATATAGCACTATTTTCACATCTTTGAACTGATTTAACTCGATTTGGACTGTGTTTTTGATATAAGGCCCCATATATTTTTTTGTTTGTAATGTTATTCTGCATCAGTTTTTCCACATCCGATCAACTGCCGCGAAAAAATGAAAAGGCACCACGCTCCATACAAATTTGGTCATTGTCATTTGTGTTATTCATTACCGATTGACAACAATTGTTATATTCGGTCGATTGTGAATGATACTTACGTACCTACCTACGTTATAATTACACTGTTCATTATTTTTCTATAAGATAAGAGAGAAGAGATTCTGCTTTTATTTGATACGCCAGTCGGTCATCATGTCAACATTTTTGGCATCCTAAGGTGGTAAATCTTCTCGTAATCCTCTCGCCTGGGGAAAACGAAGGGTCTATTAGATTTTAACGTATCCTAACCTAGCCACTGTGACATGTGAACCATCTTTAATAGATTTTCGACTTAAAATCAAAACAATAAGGTTAAAAATCATTGAAAAAGATGTCAGTGTAGCAATGTAGCTGTGTAGTTTGGTGTCATTGGTGTATGAGTGTATCCACACCAAAGAGTAAGATAATAAGTATAGGGGTAGATCGGCAGCTGCTAATTTGTACGCTGCTGCTGCACTCGTAGGTACGCTATCATTTTCTATAACGTATAAGTAAAATTTTAACTTGTCGCTGCAATGTACTTAATCGCAATCCACACCTAATAACTGAGGGAATAGAGACCATAGACTTCTTTTACATTGTTTTTGTATTCAAATAATACTGACCAGTATTATAATACGAAGCAGTAACGATATCAAATTTCTTAGAAGGCCCACTCCCATTGCATTCACATTCCTGAAGGTTACTAGTTAAGTGGATACTTACTTTACTGATAAGTTTATCAACACGACTTGTACAATAAGTAAACTAACGTGATATTTGAAGTTAAATGTAATTATATGACTTTTTGTTAAAGTCCAATTTTCAAGTGGCAAAATTGCAAATATATAGTATAATTTGACTTCTTCATTAAAAGAACGTTAAACGAAACACTCTCATGAGAGTACGTTTTGCAGTAACCGTTGTGCAATACGGCTACATGATTCGAAAACAAACAAAAGTTATGCAAACTCATCAGTCGCCGGTGATCAGACACATTACTGAATCAGGTTACAAATACCTGCGATGAGAAAACTGGAATGTGTCAGCCATTCAGATTATACCTACCGAGAAATGAGACGAGGGTTTAAAATGCACAGAAAACAAAGAAACCGGTCTGTTGCAGTTATTCATCCTCTTTTGTTGGTCTGTGTTTACTGGCTGGTTGTGCAACAAACGAGTTAATGGCATCTTCTTTTAGTCTTCGTTCTTTTTTTAAAAGCTGTAATTCGCGGCCTTTTATATATTTTTTTTTAACTTCGTCGTGGACCATTCCGCATTTGTTTTTTTTTTATATTTTATACAGTAGGTTTTTTATAAATCTCACTAGAAATATGGCTGCTGACATGCTAAAGAAATTAACATACAGAATGCAATTAGCTACAAAAACCTAATTGCGTTAGTGATGTCCTGTCAACAGATACAAGTGGCTTAACTAAGTGTCTTATATGTGAAGTTGATACTAATTAAAGTATTTTTGGTAAACATTGATGCAAAAATAATAATAAAAATAGACTGTTTTTAAACCAACATCATTAAAGGATGAAGTTTTTAATGCAGTCGGTTTTCTCTTTAAATTTCCCTAAAAATCACCATTAACGAAATGGGACCGTCCCAGTCCTCTTCCAAGAAAATTGAGAAAAATTAGGTACCTATCTACACATATACAGTTAATATTACCTACCTATATTAAACTTTAAACTACGTCGTTAAACAAGTAAGTTTACTGTCGGAGTTAAGTTATATCTGCCAAGGCCGTCCATTGACCGTTACATGAAGGCCTAAGTACAAAAGAGAACGGATTTGGCCGAGACATAACAATGCATGTAGGTACTCCTGCACATCAACCTACTATAACCTTTACGAATAATTTGAATGATTTTTAACTTTAACATTTTGTAACAAAGTTGAAAATTCAATTTTCTAGTGTGATGAGCTAGATGTGCTGGCTTTGTACACATGTATGTATGAAGGTTTAATTACTTAAGCAAGTCTGACAAAATAAAAGCTTTTATCTAACACATGTTTGTACCTGTCACGGTTGATTGCATCAAAACCTGATTTTTTATCAATTTACCAAATAGTTACCCGCATAAGTATAAAATACCTTTGCATTGTAATTTGCTACGTTTTATATGTAATTTACATTTATTCCACGAAGTTGTTTTATTTTTATCATTGGTATAAACGCTTTGTTTTTTTTTGATTGACAGGTGTATGACATTCGATATTCTGCCTCGGTCTTAATCATAGTGCATTACCACACATTTCAAGTGGCTTCAATGACAAACTTGCTTAAAATAATCTTGTTTTTCATAAAACACTTTTCAATATCGCCTCATCTTATTTCTTCTTGCAATTTTAAAATCGGCTTAATCATATTCAGATTGAAATAAAATCTTTATTGATTATTATCAAAAAAAAATCGACAGTAAAAGAAATCATTCGATACATACGTCATTCAATTAAAGAATTTTATTGTTTCGAAAAAAACATCAATCAATATTTCAAAACCTGTCCTCGAGTCACTGACCTTCTATTTTTAAATCACAGCAGACAGAATTGCACTTTATAAGCATAGCAAATAAAAACAACTCAAACAGAAAGTCAATGAATTCCAATAAAAAAAATCAAAGGTTTTAGTAATTTTGAACTCAGTTTGATATAAAAACTAAACTGAGTTCAAAATTACGCTAATTAAACTAAATATAACTAGGAATAACGTAATAAACTAGTTTTTTTACATAACAACTCAAATAACTGTGGTCTATGCAAACACTGAATTATTTTTTTACACTCGAGACACACAGCAATATCCGTAAAATTTTTAAATTCATAAATCGACGATAAAAATAACAGTTTTTGAAGAAACACTAAGACTTAAGTAATAAATTAAAATAAATTATGTGAAAAGTTATTAACCTTTTCTTATAAATAGCCTCGGTGTTGAATAATACGTTATTTTGATATAAAACATTGACACATCCTATATTTCTATGCGAGGTATGACCTAGTTTCTAATCATATTATGCTGATTACTTTGATTCACGTGCCGATAACGGAACGTTGATATTTTCAGGGCTATTTCATCTTATGTGTGGAAGCTAGCGATATAGTAGTTTAGTATGTTTCATTTATACGTAATTATAATACAAAGATTGTATAGTCTAGTAGTACCATTAAAGGAAAGGAATGGAAATATGTATA